CATGGAATGAAGCTCCATTGTCAAAGATCCATTCAATGTCTCTGTCAAAGTTGCCCATATTCAGACATTCACCAACAGATAATATTTTTGGTACATCACCACATATGACAGCAGTGGTACTGCCAATATCATCTTTCTTCTGATTGTTTCCTTCCATTTGCTCTTTCTTCCAAACTCGACAATTTTTCTTCATATGGCCTTCTTTGCCACAATGGTGGCATGCACCCCTGAACCTTGACTTGGATTGGCTAGGACTCCTGCCATGACCTCTAGGTCCTCTACTCTTGCTTCTTCCGTGGTTCTCTGTGACAAATACTTAGCTGTTATCTGTGCCAGAAGTCTTTCTCCTTGTTTCTTCATTGAGCATGTTATTTTTAACATTATCAAGAGTAAGAACACCATTAGAAGCAGAGTTACTTATATTCACCACAAAGGTCTCCCAACTGTCTGGCAAGGATCCAAGTAACAAGAGCGTCTGTAGCTCGTCCTCAATCATCATTTTCATAGTAGCCAACTGGTTGATGATATTCTGGAAATTGTTCAAGTGTTTTGCTACACTTAAACCATCCTTGTACTTCACATTGATGAGCTCTTTGATCAAGAAGGCTTTCTTGGCTGGGGTTTTCTTTTCAAACAAGGACTCAAGCTTCGTCCAAAACTCGCGGGCATTGGTTTCATTAGACACATGGTGAAAAACACTATCATCCACCCATTGTCTAATTGTGCCAATTGCCTTGCGATTCATCTTCTTCCACTCGGCATCGGACATGCTTTCGAGCTTAGCAGCATTTCCTTCAATTGGCTCATGCAGATCCTTGCAATAAAGAATGTCCTCCATTCTTGGCTTCCATGTTACCTAATTGGAATTGGTGAGTTTGATCATAGTGCCACTTCCTTCCATCTCGTAGTACAAGCCAACCGGGCTCTGATACCACTTGTTAGGAATGTCGGTACTACAAGATAGAGAATGCACAAGGTAAAGTAGAAAATGGACACCAATAATTTATGTGGTTCGACAATTTATGCCTACGTCCACGAAACAAGGATCAATCTTCACTATATGAAAAAGATGAGTACAACAAGAGTAGTCTTACCAAGCCAAAAACAAGGCTTGATGAATACAAGAGAGTATAACACACACTTTCTATCACTCTAAACTTCACTCACACACAATGTGTAGTGGAACACTCTCACTCTCAAACTTGAAGTGGAACAACTCTTATAACCCTCACTCTTGGAGTGGAACACTCTTACTTTGGTTTTTCACACCTCATGATACATACATGCACCCCTATTTATAATTGAGTTTTGCCGACTTATACACAAGCCCACCGACTTAGGCTTGCGTGGCAGGCTCAATATTATTCAAACAGTTAGAACTTTCTAGCTTATGCATGCACTCCACCGACATGCACATTTGGACCAGATTTTTCTAGTTCCTTGGCATTTGATAAGATGCTAGAATTTTCTAGCATCCATCATTTATAATGGGTTGGACCTTTAATGTCTTTCATCATGGGCTGGACCCATGGTATACTAACATAATCCACGTATAGATACGTCACCGAATACGGTGACAACTCAACTTTGCGATCAAAGCCTTCATCGGAAACGTTGTCGTTGTAAACAGAAGTCTGCTATGGCTTGGGTTTATTCAACCACTCATGCTGCTGCTGAGTTTGGTAGTACACCAGAGTACCACTGGTGCTGCTCATCCGGTTGAGAGTAGCAGTGGCATCAGCAGTCTGGTTTTTTTTAGAGCTTGGAACAGATTGAAACATGGGAGGTATAATTGGGGGTGGTGATGATGGAGGAGAGGCGATGGTCGGGAGAGATGTAGACAAAGCCGTACAAGGAAGGAGGTTGGTCATTCATCGCCAGGAGTGAGGGTTTGGAAGAGGAGACAAAGGGTTTTGAATGCGAGGCGATGACGCGTAAGGGAAGTATAGAGAAAAAGAGAGGTAGCAACGATAAATGATGGAGGAGATAGATGTGCTGCTCCTATGCCCATGGGTGCAGCCTGTGTGGTTTAGTGGTATTCTCTACATTCGTATTATTGGCGCCTCTATTTCCTCATTTGATGACTGGATCTCTCACCTGTTTTCGTTGCAGCTGGGGTCCTCCAAGTCTAAATCAAGGTTTCTGTCTCAGGTGGCTTTCTCCTTGTTGGTTTATCTGGAGAGCCAGATGCGACGCGGTGTTCAACAGACGATCCCCTTCTCTATCTCACACTATTTTTAATCTGTCCAATGCTTGGGAGGCCTTTGTTGATGCTAACACCAGGATCCATGGCCTTGCTCCCTCGCCTAGGAACAACCATTTGTGTGAGGTTTCGTGGTCTCCTCCTCATCCTCATTCCTTGTTGAAGATAAATGTGGATGCGAGTTGGAGGCATGGTGCTTCTTCGGCGTGGGTTGGATTGTTGATCTGTGACTCGAGTCGTAGGTGTTTGGAGGTCAGAAGGATGGAGGTCCTGGCCTATTCTACTGCAATGGCAAAGTCCTTGGTGGTTTTGGAGGGGTATCTTCTAGCGAAGGGTCTAAATTTTCCTCGGGTGGTGATTGAATCGGATTCAAAACTGGTTACTTCGTGTTTGCAGGATTGTTCTTCGAGCTGCGCTTGGGAACTCTTCCCAATCCGAGATCGTATTTGGTTGGTTGGGAATGCTTTCCAAGCTTGCTCCTGGTCTTAGATTCCAAGATCAGCAAACTGTGTGGTGGACTTCATTGTGAAGAACTTCACTCCGGAGATGTGCAACTCTGTTTGGGCTTACAATCCCCCATATTCTCTTGTTAGAATTTTAAATAAGGATGGTTTACCTTGCCCTTCGAGTAGCTATCTTCGGATCTTGTTTTTTGGGGATGACGTGTTCGCTAGCTGTGGCAGCGTCTATTGTAATCTCGGGCCCTTGCTCTGTCGTTAGTTCCTTTGTTGCGTTAGCCTTTGCGGCTTTCTTTGTTCTCGGCTAGCCTCTGTGCCTTGGTATTGTATATCCTTGGTTCAAAAAAAAAAAGAATTTACACGATAAAGGGTAATTTTGTAACTTACATTCTAAAAAAAAATAAAAAAGTTAAGAGTGCTAATATCCCCACTTCTATGTCTTATTTTCCTACCCATATCTTAACAAAAATTCCTCGACCAACCATTGATTGAAGGAGAGATGAACGGAACGAGAAATTTTTAATTGTAACGGAAACACAAGTGGTACACCATGTGTTTTAATAGAAATGGTGAGAAATTTTATTTTTTAAGTTATTAACTTTTTAGCACACATATCCCACCATTTGTATAATGACACGTGGTGTACCACCTCGTGTATTGGTTACATTGAAAAATCTCTCGAATGGAACGGAGACACTGGCACAGACTCCCAACCGACTACTCATTTGCTATCCAGGTAGGATGGAAAGCCGAACAGTGTTGTTGTTGATATACCCAGGATACCAAGGCCCCCTCATAGACACAAGGAAACTTTTTCACCTCATAGTGATAAAGCAACAAATGGTTTGCTCCAGGTATAAGAGCAGGGGCGGATCCATTAAGGGACTAGGGTGGTCCTAGGACCACTCGGAAGCTAGGACAAACGGCTGTGAGGATCTTCAAGGACCATCCAAATCTGGGCAGAAGAACAGCAGCCATGGCTGCTGCAAGCTGTGCAAAACGGAAGGAGGAAGAAGAAAGTCAATTTTTTTTTAAAAAATAACTTGGCCAAAACGACGTCGTTTTGAGCCAAGTTATTAAAAAAGTTTAAAAACTCCTCACCTTCACGTGATAGAGCACTCGCCAGTCACCATCTTTTATTGTTTATAGAAAAGTCAGACTCACCATCTTTTATAGAATAGTGCTTTCAATCAACTTTACTTCACCAATAATAGCAAATTGTCTGTAAGTTTTCAAACAGGAGGAATCCTCACACTACCCAAGTAACCCCAACTTTGTGATTTGCTTTGTTTTCAATATATTGGTATTCAGATCGTGATTTTGTGGATGATTTTATTCAGACTCAGACCTTTAAACAGAATGAACATTCATGCTCTCCATAGCAATTTCTGCTCTCTGCTCCCTGTTCAACTTCCGTCTCGAATGTACGTGTGTTTACCACCAAACCCACATTTCTGTAAGATTTCTAATTTAGTGTTAGTTCTTACTTATTTTTAGTGTTAGTTGATACATATTTATTGTTAATTTGTTAGGATTTTTAGTTTTAGACTTTTAGGTAATTTTTTTTTAAAGAACACTAATTAAAAACAAAGGGGCCGAACAGTGAATCTTGCAAATGATTTTTTTCATATCTATTTTAGTGTTAGTTCATACATATTTATTGTTGATTCGTTAGGATTTTCTGATATTACTTGGATTGTGTTATAGGGTTTCTTTTGTTGAAGATTGTGTTACAGTTAGGGTTTTTAGTTCATACATATTTTTAGTTTCATCAATTGACATAGATTTTTTTATTAATTGATATGTGTAGAAATTAAAAGTATGGAACGATATTACAAGCGAAATCATCATCGAATAGTTCGGACAATCATATTCCAAATAGTTCATCTCCAAACTTGGATAGTTCCAATCCTATTCCGAATAGTTCCCCTCCAATTCCAAATAGGTCCGATCCAATTGGGGGTAATTACACTCCACAACAAAATGAGTTAAAAATTGATTAGGATAATCTTGAGAGAGACCCCGGAAAGAGAATTCCAATGAAGGATTATCCTCCAAATATTCGAGATGAGGTCCGAATAGCATATATATTAATGGAGCCTTTTAGAGCTAAAAATGTTTTTTTTTTGTATTGACAATGAAACTATCATAACACGTTTTCAAAGTATGTGATCCCGTCGTGGACAAATTTAGTATTTCTAGCTTGTTTAGCACAAAGATTATGAATGAAAATTGTAGTTTGCCATTTATTTGTTCAATGATATTTTCTTCTTTTTTTTTTTTTTTTTTTTTGAAGCTTTTATATTGGGACCACCCTAAGTTAAAATCCTGGATCCGCCACTGTATAAGAGGATATCGAGGAGGGTGAAGTCATTGGGATTATCACTCTGGAAGATGTATTTGAAGAACTCCTGCAGGTAATGTACACGCAACTGATATTCTCGTGCTTTCAGTTAATGAAAATTGTTTATTTGGTTGTAGTGATGATTGTCTTGAAAAATGCAGGAGGAGATTGTGGATGAAACAGATGAATATGTTGATGTACATAAAAGGTATCATAGAGTGACAAAAGAAAATAGTTGGTTGACATTATGTACGAAAGTTATAATTTGAAAGTGGATTAATCTTCTTCATCCTTGCAGAATACGTGTCGCTGCAGCTGCAGCTGCTTCATCAGTGGCACGGGCTCCATCAACTCGGAGGTTAAATGTGAACAAGGGACCTGCCACTGGACAAAATGTATTCCCCCTTTTCAATCTGTTATTTTCGAAGGGGTCTGGGCAGTTGATTTGCCTCTCAACATTCACTCTTTTTTTAATGTTCAATTTTTGTCCAGTGGTCGAAGCTGACTAATGTTTTCTTGTTCTTATTGTGATGATGCCCTAGGCAGGCCAAAAAGTAAGCAAGGACTAACCCTCAAGAAATCTGCTGATGATTGGCCCTCGGCAACATTGCAACGGACTTCTGGCGAACCCCGTCTTTGAAATATGAGAAGATTCATCTTGCTCATTCGTCATTTCCTGATCCGGTTGCTCCTCAGGGAACTGGCTTTGACTTGCATCTATGAAAGTTGTTTGTTTTTGTTTTCAATTTTTGTTCTCCGGGTGGCAGGTAGGTTTCGAGAGGTGGAGTTCTACATTAGATTGCATAGGAGGATATCATTGGAAGTTTGGTACCTTACTAATTATTTCCACTCGTTTTTGGTTCATATTAAATCGATAGGTCGAGCTGCCTCTTTGGCTGGCTCTACTTTTTGTTTTGTAAACGACGGTATATGGAGAAAGTAGTTCAATAACAAGTGCAAGGTTTCCATGCACGATTCTTTCTGCTATGCAAGTTTACAGAAATATTCAGATCTGTACAATAAGAAGTAAATAAATGAAGACAGTTTGTTCCTTGAATTCTCGACTTTCAATTTCCGTTGTGTTCCTAGTTCAGGTTTAAGCGAAGATATTACTTCAAGACCAAGAAAGGACATGCGTGATACATGCTAGCTCGCTGAGGATTCCTTCAATATTTTTATTGGATACAAGCGATATTGAGGGAAAACGGAATCAAACAAGACATCTCGGGCGTAGTGATAAATTCTCGCTCCCACCATGATTTTACAAATTTACAACTTGCATGCTCTGCAGCAAATGGCCACGATACTAAACAAGCTTTATTGGCATCAAATTTGTAATAATAAGCTTTTCTGGCACAGCAATTAAGCTATTCTTTTATTTCTTTATTTCTTTTTTTAATATATCAACACATATTGATAACAGACTAATCTCTCATGCAACTCTAATACCATATGAGACGACATCCTACATTTGATCTCCAAATTAAAAGGTAGGCTAAAGTATGGTTCAAAAGAATGCATCAGTGCAGAATTCACAACAATTAACCTATTATGGAGGGTGATATTTGCGGATAAAGAAAATGTCACCTCTATTAAATATGTGGAGTCTAAATGAGCTCAGTAAACATAGTACATTACATGTAGTACTATCATTGAATTTTACATGTAACATTCGTTTAATTACATGGTATTAGTATTTAAACTCTTCCCAGACACAAGTAGCTTTACATTCTTGTAAACTATTTGGATCCAATTTCAATAGGAAATTCAAAATCACAAGAACACAACTTCAACCCTTGCATGGTAAAAACAGTCACCTCTCCGTCACTCATCCCAACAAAGAAGTATGACAGTACACCTCCACATGATATATAATCGTGTCCGCTGCTCCCTCATCAACCTCGAGCATTTCTCCCACGACCGGAGCTTGGGCGTTCGAACGGAAGACAACTCTCCCTTCATGTTAGACGGCAACTGTTGAGACTATTTCAGAGAGAGAGAGAGAGAGAGAGAGAGAGAGGAATACTTGTACGTTGGTATGAAAAATTTCAAGGTTGTAATATTGGTCATGGAAGAACTTGAGCTAGCTAGCCTTGCATTATAGAGAGGCACATAGGAAGGATCAGACGCGGCAGTACATGGTAGGGTGACAAGTGTCGGCCGTTGAATGGGTTTACAAGTAGTGGGGGTCCCATTGAGAACAAAGATGATAAAGCAGACACATGAGCTTTGTCTCCCTGTTCAATCACCTGAAAAACTTGACAAGGATTGGAGTTTTCCATACTAATCTCAAGGCCACCTCTGTCCGCCATTATTATAGGCTGCAATTTGTCCATTGAATGAACTAACCATAGTACATGTGTGTGTGTCTAGCTATATATATATATATATATATATTATCTATGTATGTTAAGGATATAGATGGCTTAACAAATTAAACTATTTCTCTTCCAGAATTTCAGGGAGCCTTTGGATGTATTCCTTAAAACTTATTTCCAAGTTCTGTACACGATTTATACATGTATATATATATGAAGAGTATATAAGACTGCATGCTTGAGTAGGTACATATATAAATACTTCACGCTTGGATTTATCGTACTTCGTAATTTTATATAGTTGCTGATCAACACCACAAAATCCACCTTGTTAGATCATGTTCCCCTCTTGTGCTATATTATAGGAAACACAAAAAAAAAAAAAAAAAAAAAAAAAAAAAAACATACTCAAACCAATATTTACAACTTAAAATTTGCACTTACATAAAAATATTATTCTCGATAAATTGAGTTGATCACTATAAACATCTCATTCTTAACTAGGAGAAAACATTAATAGAGTGCGTTAATGATACAGTAAAACCTCTTCTTAATTTAGAAATTCAACATGCAATCGAAAACATATCCCACATTTTCTTTTTCTGTACTCTCATTGAATGATCATGTCACGTGATAAGAGATATAAAAATAGTGAAATACATCTCTGATTACTCTTGAGAATTTCTCACAATCTAACATACATGCTTCTCCACATATCAACACCTATCGATATAGAACGTACTAATTTTACGCATACATATTATGGGACTGCATGCAATGCATGGCCCGAACGATCAAGCGTACTTGTGCCAACCAAGAAGCATAGAAATGCAAACCCTAGTAATATAGAGCTTCCCTTTTTGTTGCCTCACCATTCTTTTCCACTTGGCAAGTCTCCTGCCCATGCTTCCCATGACCAATATTTATAGCTTTGCTACTTTCACGAACAAATTATGACTCCTCCAATTCTAAACCCTAATTTAGTGGCTGAAGATCTCAAGTACTTGTCTTGGAATATTTTAACATCCACTCCTTATAAACTAGCTTCAAGCCTTCCAAATGTTAAGTCGCAGGGTCCACTTGTACCTTCACATCACCTCCATGCCACGTGCACTAGCAGCGTGTATCTCTCTCACCTTAAAAGTCCTCATCGGATAAATTTTGCCTCCCATTAATGATTGTCCCTCTTGTTCAAACTAGTTCTAAGTAGAACAGTTGAGATTCCTGTTGCAGTTAGGTGCCCCCATATGTGTTGTGATTTTGCTTTAGAAAGTTTTTGGTGTGCACGTTTGTTATCCCACTCATATGAAAATATCAACTTTGATGGTATAACTCATACTATAACACGTTCATTAATTATTAATATCATGTGACAACTGAATATTTTTTTTAAATAATGAAATTTTTGTGACTCCAGTTGACTAAGTTGACTTCTCCAAATGGAGAAACACCATTGTAGTGTCCCAAACCAATAATATAATGTCTTGTGAGAAAAGTTATAATACATAATAATTGTATTATTGATTTCAACGCTACGATGACATTTCATAGTGTAGATAACTCCTTCCCTCCAAAGATACTGTAACATTGTGTTCTCATTGCCAAGTCCCCCAAGAACATCACAGTCACATTTCCCACTTCACGCGTCTAATCATGTCTCATTGCCATGTATACGATTAGCAATGGAAATGTTCTCAAACCTTATCTTATAAGTAGAAAGCATCAAGCGATAAGATTTTTTATTATACTTAAATCCATGTGGACCTATGAGAAAATGATCTACTATTATCCAGCTGACATAGATCCAAATCAGATTGGCCCTATGAACAATATCTCAATGAGAGTCGTACATACTTAGAGATGAGGCAGGTGTGTGTGTTAGCAACTTGGGGACACCATCAAAATATCACTGAACTACTTTAGTTAGGAGATAATTAGAAAGATTGGAAAATTCAAGTTGGTGGGGAGTGCTTTCTTTTGTTGCATTAATTTGTTGGGATGTTTAGGAAGTGAAGTTAAGGGAAGTGGGTTGATCTTTTGAGTTGAGACTGTGACTAACTGAGACACCACAATCACAACATTCCCTTTCAACAGACATAACGAGCAAATAACTGCATCGTTGGACTGTCAATGAGAAAAAGATTCGTATACCAAAAGATGGTGACAACCTACTAGCTGGGCTTGTTGCTCTAATGAAGTGTTGTTCATCCCTTGCATCTAAGCTCATGTATTCGCCTGTCCTCGTTGCTTGAGCCTGAATAAGAATTGTGTTATAAATCTCACATTGATAGGAAAATGAACCTTCATGTGCTTATAAGTAGTTGGGCTAGCTCCTCTTCATAGTGCCAATTGGTTTATGCTAGAACTCCAACTTTCTTTATGGTATTAGAGCAGGTTGCTACACAAGTGATGCCCCATAGCCCCATGCACTCCAAGTCACCCCCATTTGTGTTGTCCACATACTAGGCTTGAAAATTCGTCACATGTAAGGGGGCGTGCTGAGAATGCAGTCCCACATTAATGGTATAAGGGACCACAAATGTGCTTATAACATATAAGTAGTTGGACTTCTCCTTATATTGTCAATTGGTTTTATGGTATAAAACAAATGATTCATCAAAGTAGACATACCTGGAGATATAAACCCTATTGGTGAGGGGATCTAGACATTGATGGGAGAAGGGACCTCCCTTGTATGTGCTTACAAGTAGTTAGACCACTCCTTATATTGCCAATTAATTTTATAATGAAACCCTAACTTTCTTCAAATTGGACCTAGGTACGGCAGTCCATTTTCGAATTCAAACCTCGGAGCATTTCGGTTGCGAAAATGTTAGTTTAAGACCTTGTAAATCCCTACATGAAGTGTTTTTTCTTAACCAAGTTGCTATTCTAGTCCGAGGTAAAGTCAAGTGATACCGGCCTCTTTGATTTTACTGCAACTTAATCATTTAGGTTAAGATTAGTTTTTAGACTTAGGCTTCTAGATTTTAATTGAGTCATTCACTAAAGATTATCTCACTTGTCGTATTTGGCATTCACCAAATAAATTATAAACTTTTATGTCTTTAAGGCATAAAAAGAATCGAGACTGAGCCATACAAAAATGTATCCTCTCCTTGGCAAACTCTAGACTCCTTTTATAATTTTTTTTCCTATCACTTATAAGTGAGCAGGAATACCACTAGACCGTAGTATTAAGTGGCGACTCCTTTTATAAGATTAATGTTGTTGTATTGAGTCAGGTATAGGGTCTAGCGTACCATTTCAATCAACAATCATATGTATCATCTATCTAATATAAAATGATGAGGTAAGAGATTGGCCAATCAATGATCGGCCATGTGATACTCCACGTAACACAAAAGGAAGGGTGGAAAGGGAAGAGAAATTTTTTTAGTGTGATAGACAAATCAACATGAGGTGCCATAAATTCACATGTTACGTCATATTTAATATGAGTAATGCTATTATTTCTATCTAAATGTACCACACTTTATACCATCTTATGTGGCAATTGAGGTGCGTAAGCCATACCAATTGTAAAAAATATTGTGAAAAATAAGGTTAATCACATCAAAATCTCAAATTTCAAACCCTAGTTTTGTACGTTTTCATGCCTCCCTCC